GATTATCAGTTGGTAAAATGCGATTTTAAAAAGATAAAAGAAGTAAAACACTGACCGACGTGAAAAATATCAGCCCTGATTTTACCCGAAATCCAAGGTCCAACTGTTGCCATGAAAGCTATGAAATAAGATCGATTAAGGTCGAGTGATTCCCGTGAACTAAAAAGGAAAACAAAAAATAGAGGTAAAAAATCCAGATCACAGGAACTGAAGAAACGCACAAACTAGGAATCAAAAAAGTTTACTTCAGTACTTACTTTTATACATCACTTTCATTCAAGAATAAAATTTTATAGCAAATAAACCAAGTTGAATTCTAGGCATAAATCGACTATCTTAGTACAGCTGGTCTATTTTCCCGTTACAAACCGTTTCAGACTGGCTCCAATTCCGCCCTCGGTGCTACGAGACGACCGTAGAGACTCAACCAGTTCTTTTTCGTATATTTCCTTCAAAGGGATCGGTTTGTATCGCTCTTCTTCCTCGTCCTGCAACTTTCGACATGCCTCGTTTAGGTCGAGACTGATCCACTCGGCTTCTTTCTCCTAAATTGAAGAATTTTGACCGTCTGATTATTTACAGAATATATCGTTGATGATCTCTAAAATTCTAGCAACAGCATCTACGTTATGGAAAGCAGAGAGCTGACCAAGCCAGCAAAGATTGCACGTAACGGCAGGAAAAGTGAAGGAGTATTTTATTTAGCTGCTACGGTGAGCACTGGTCACAAAATCGGAAACATCGATTAATGAAACAGTGGCAATGAAAAATGGTAAATATTAGAACAGTGACAAAAATTAGCGCGTTAGAATTAAACTCTGACTATAAATCTCGACGAAAGAAATGAAACGCCCTCCATATTAAAATCACTTTTTGAAGAAGGAAAATGTTCCTATCTGAGAAACTCCCGCTTTTCTTTAAAGGGACAGTCTGCGATCAGTGCGCGCTTCCAGTGCTAATCAAACACGGGGCGAAACATGGACCATAGCCTGGAAACTACTAAAAAAATGCACAATATGCACCGCAGCATGGGAACAATAGGAAAAAGTTGGATGACGAATGAATGGGGAAGCTTACCAGCAGGAGCCTATGATATCACTGATCGAGTGAAGTAGTCAGTGGCAATGGGCAGAACTTGTTACAGAAATAACCAGCCGTGGATGCACTAAAGAGACATCAGACTGGATTCCAGGAGAGAGTAAACAGCCCTTGGGATGACCTACAAATGGATGGTAGGATGAAGCAAAAAAGTATGCTGAATTACGATGGATACAAACTGAAGAAAACAAAAGCTTGTGGAAAAGTCTTGGGCAGGTCTTCATCAAGGAGTGGATCGAAAACGATTCATGATACATATACACAATTTACCTAAACCCAGACAAACAACATTCCAAAGATAAGAAACAAACAAATAACATTCAAGAATATGGAAGGAACTGATCATACCGGAATTACGAATTCGCTGTACTTCTCTAACATTTCCTGACATCGTTCCGGGGAGCTGAAATCTTTACGGGCCAAACAAAGCAACATTTCACGCTTTAACTTGCAGCCCAGTTTTGAGTGCAGATCAACAACGTGAGTCTATAGTCCAAAGAACATGAAACAATGACCCTGACAACAAAATGCATGATCGCGGCTTACTCGTAGTATGTAGTAGTCAAAACCCTGGTTCTCGTCGATAAGTCTAAGTGTTCGCATAGTGACCATGATTAGCATATATCGATCCAAAATTTCGCTGTACAATAGCTCCTTTCGGAGGCTAGGAAACCACAAATGAGGCACCCTAAACAACGTACGCTGTTATCCAGCGACTCTTCAAGAACGACAACGACGACAATTACCAACGACGAGGAAGAAAACGCTTTGGCCTAGGGGGCAGTCCGCCCAGTCGATAACCCTTCAGTACGCCTTCACCACCCCATAGACCATAGTCGGCTTCTGGAGGATAAATAGGTACTATTGGGTTATCTTCGTGTTCAATCCTAGAAAAAATCGAGAAATTAACCCTTCGAGCACTTTCATGAATACTACAAAGCCAAAAAACGATTCATAAGAATATCATAGATCAATAATATTATAAACTCCAGTCACGTGATGGCCTGGAAGTGGTGGGGAAACCCGCAACGGTGGTACTGTCCGCTACTCATCAACAATATTAAACCCCGGAAAGTGCTCTATTTCTCTCAATCCGCTTGGCTGGACAAAAGCTGCAGAAATTTGGCAATACCGTAGTTAAGGTACCATAAAAAAGCTCAAAAATAAACGTACATCGGAAAGGTAGGAGCAGGCTGTCGTGTCGGCTTGAACAACACCTATAAAAGGTAAGCCACAGGAGGCGATTGGTAAACGGATCCGGAACGTCATGAAGATCTTCGGTTAAATTGGACCACTATAGCATAAATGATCCTATAGTCAAGTCAGTTGGTCAGTGGCCGACGAAGAAAGCAAAAAGTAGACGATGTTATACGAGCGCCGTCTTGCATTCATAGTGCACCCATACGAGTACAAGTTGGATAGCAGATATATAATATATAAACCTTCCCGTTTTAGGCCATTTCAGCCAACACCACAAACTACCCGTTCTTCAGTGCAGAAACGTCGAAAACTAACACAGTGAACCCCCAACAAGGTCATGGTAGGCAAAGGCTATATATAAATATATATACCCAATTTATATTCAATCGGTGTATAAATCAGGTAGAAATGTAAATACATGAACGTACACGTACTACCTATGACTACCTATGCGTATATATAAATGTGCAGCTATATATACATACACAGCCGTACATACAGGTGTGCATATACACTGTGCATATTATATGTACATACAATACGTATGTATATGAATATACAAATACATGCTACAAAAGCATACGTGCATATATGGGTATGTATGCAGAAGTGTGTGCTACTACTGTGTTTGCGACTATTAGTGTGTATTTGTATATAAAACCATGTGTATATCAGTGTGCGTCTGTAAGAATACATACACACTTGTCTTCACAGAGATATGCACACGCATATAAGTGTGAATTTGTATATATCTATATAAAATGCATATATTCAAACATAAACACATGTTTATACATATGACAGTATATACAAGGGATAGTGCAATATGCCGTCGAGTCTGGTCTTGGAGGAGTCATGCACTACTTGACATTCGAACACCACATGATGCTTATGCAGCACTATGTAAACATATGTACACTTACATATGCAAGCAAACTTCGATATACAGTAGGTATTCTACTGTATATCTATATAGTATGTAGAATATGTTCATACAGATGCACCTATCACACAGATGCACGCATACCCTCATGCACATAAATTTATGCATATACAGGAACCGTTATTGTTACTGTCATCAAAGGCTGAACAGACTCGTAGTGTAATTTGCAAAACAGCCGTAAGAAACGTCCTTTAATACAAATAATCTTAAACAATGCTAACTGCTGCAGCAAAGGTCATATCATATACAAGTATGGATGCGTCAACGCACATAAATGTCTATGTGCATAACGATATGTACGGATATATACCTGCGCATGTACCAATGGGTGAGCATATATATGCAAATTAATTAATTTCCTAATTAATTAGTTCAGAAGCATTAATTCGAAAAATAACGTCGCGTACGAAACGAGTTCGGTACGTACCGAATCTTTCGCTTAGGGTCAAAGGTGTACCGTTTTTCCGGTCGCCTGTAGTGAACAGGCTCCGGATCTCGAAGAACCGTGTCCCAGTAATGGCGCTTGTAAAATTCGGGCAGCCGGTGAACGATACTATCAGGCTGCTGCCAAATTTCCCAGCTGCGCCAAATTTTCTGAGCTTTCTGCCAAGTGATGACTGGTCGCGGTCGCAAAACGCTCATTTCTAAAATTTGACTCCAACGTTAAGCAAACGTACTTTACAGATGGACATCACAAATGTACTGTCGCATTTTTAGACAATTACAAGTTTTTTAACTGTTTCACCTTCCGGCCCCATTGCGGAGCGAACCAATCTCACAGTATGCAATCACAGGCGACTGGTATTCATCAGCAGAATTTTTATTCTTTACCATCTATTCGCTGGTCAAAGTTTAGCAGTCCTTAGAGCGTCAGATTCAGAATCGATAAGTTTCAAGTTCAATCCCTAATCAG